CCTTCCTGAAGGTAACAGAACACACCAGCCCTTACACACTTTTATAAATTTTAATGCTTCTTGATTAAAATATGTTTCAAGTATGGGAGAAACTAATGGGTATACAATAACAGTGTGCTGAACTCACTGTCATGTTTAACCCTAGAACACTGTCGCTATAAAGAGTAACACCATCACTAACATCAGGTGATTACTTGTCATCTAAATATATCAAATTATGACTACAATTAGAGTGGTCTTCTTTTGTTTTCAACTGTGGTATTTTCAACATGTCTAACAAAAAAATGTCATGAGGGGACCCTAAAGAAATGCTCCAAAATTACTGAAAAATTAGGAATATGAGAATAAAAAATTCCTGTTTTCTGTTTTCTACAGTCAATGGTCCAAACTCATTTTTTCCTACACCCTTTGCGACGAACCTAACGTCACTTCCGACCTGATAGCGTAATCCTACTGATTGGACAGGACCGGTAGAGGGGAGGTTCTAAGTTTGCGCCGTTTACGCAAGACTCTACATCCGGTTTGTTAAGCGTATGAGAGTGACACGGAGCAACACCAGAAGTCAATTACTTTCCCTTCACGCCAAAATCATAAACTTAAATAAATGTATATATTTAGCTTGAGCTTAGTTCAAAGCAAATATGACGTTTTGTTTGAAAGATTGTTTAGAAATATTCAATAAAGTTTGTCAGCCGATGCCTGGCAATAGGTCCTGTTACGCTGACTTTGTGTCAGCACCTGAGAAATTACTAGTAGATTTTGGTATGATCCAAAATTTTAATGACCACCAAATCCCTGTGATTAATAATTAGTTAACAAAACGTGCTAATTATGTGCTATAGACTATAACTAAAATAGACATGACAGTAAACACAAAAAAGGTTCAGATGCTTTTCATAGTGGATGTTTGAGGTATATTTTTCATTAAAACAAATAAATCATTAATTTCACACTGTTCAGTGGAGGATACACTGAACTTAGATGATAGAAACAATGTATCGATCCTACAGTGCTACAATGATATGATACCAACATTGGTATCGATAATACTGCTACCTAGATCGATCCGCCCACCTCGAGAAAATTAGTTCAATCCTGTGATGAAATCTTTGTGATTAATTAATGCATACAATAAATGACTGGCAGATGCCAGAGTCAGGATTTAATGCGAATGTACCCAGAAAACTGTCTTCCTGAAATAAAATCTTTTTTTCTGAACCCATAAGGAAACACTTTCTCACTGCAAACCTAAGGACAAGTGTTTCTGCTTAAAACATAAACATATTGCACAGAAAGGTAAATGAATAAGAGTTTAGTGTTGAAAGAGTTGTTACTGAGGTGCTGTAAACACAGTATATACAGTTTTTAGGATCTCTTGCGCACATATTTTTCATGAAGCTTTTAATCTGAAATGTCATACCGGAAACGTTTTGTCTTGAAACCGTGCTTGCGCGGATCTTGAGTGAATGGCCGCGTGTTTATAGTGGGGCTTGTGGCTACAGTCAGGCGTGGATTATTTGATTTACCGGGATGTTTTGGGGATCAGCAGGTCAGCGGGCGTCTGTCGGGCTTCTCCGCTGCTGGTCCCTGACTGTCAGCCCCTATACTCTCACACCCACCCGGTGTCCTCTGCACACTCCACGCTCGCTTTCGTTCTCTGCCCCTCTAAAGTCTCCTGCTCATGAAGAGGTGAAGCAGCCTCTGAGGCGGTGGGATCTGTCAGTGAGCCCCTTCACCACGGTGCGCGCACAGATAGGTTGCAACATATCCATCAACCCGCTGGACCCGCACACCTACCCCGAAGCTGATCGAGCCTTCATAACAGTCCACGGGCCAGACAAGGAGCAGGAAGTCAGTCTGGACCGGTTAAAGGTCCACTATGATGACCGGAGCAAAGAGCTCCTAATATCCGCTGAGACGGTGGGCAGCGACTTGTCCATCGAAATGTCTGCACCCATCAAAAGCAGTGAGTGTGTCTATGTGAGGGCTGGGTATCGTCACTGATTTCTAGATTCTATTCCGATTCACAAGGTCCTGAATCGATTCGATCCAGGATTCGATTCAATTCGATGGGTTTGATTCAATTCGATTTGAATCTGGGAAATTTTGCCTCAGACAGTCAGAAGTATTATAATTCAGATCAGTACATTTACATATTTTTATATCTATAAAAAGGAAGCTGACACATTCCAGACTTTATCAAAGGTGTGAGCATCACAGCAGATGCCTTTGTGT